TGCTCAATTTTCTCCACTTTAAGTTCAGAAAAAAAAAATCTGAAAACAATGTTACATGTTTTATTTTGACCTGGCTTTAGGGTGACTCTCTCGTCACTGCTGGGGTTAAGTTTCTCTTTACAACTGCATGATAGCGTGAAAAAGCCCGGGAGAAGACCGAGAGGGTGGAGACCCAACAGGAAGTCACGTGCCCAGCTCAGCCCGCGCGCACGCAGGGTGGGCCACAGCGCCCCTGCAGACAGGGTGACTTTGTCACTGGGAAAACACAGGTGCACAGGAAAGGTGCGCGGCCGGGGATATGCACTGTTTTCCCAAACTATGTGGCAACTAAGCAGTGCGGTCGGGATTCGCCAGGCCATGCGGTAGCCTCCCCGGGGCTGGAGTCTGCTGCACATCACTGCAGAGGTCAACCCCTGAGCTGCAGCAGCCTGCTTCCTTCCAACTGCCTGTCTAGCACGTTCAACGTTTCTGCAAATGTTCACCTTTGCTGAAGAGAGAATGCCAAATTAAATACCAAATTCCTGCCCCATGAGCCACGTCCCCGTAACTACCCCCAATCTGAACTATAGTTTCTCCACAATAACCTTCCTACCTTGCTATTATCCCAAATTTCCTTCCTTTGTCCTTGAGGCTCACTGCCAAATCTCTCCTATGCCTCTGCCTCTTTCGTGGTCCAATTTTCCTTGGCCTTCATGGAAAACTTGACTCATCTTTTTTGAAATATCTACTGACAACTTTTGAGTATTCTGTGCCTTAACCTCCCAGACGATTATTCTTGGAACAACATTCCAATGTCCAGGCCATCAGAATAACAATTCTTGATTCTCAGTATATTTGGGGTCCAAATCTTGACCCCTCCATGAACTTCCCAGCTCTGCTAAGATGAGTTATTGCTACATGACAAAATATCCCAAACCTAAAACAACAGCTGCTCTGCCAGTGAATCTATAGTTTGGGTCAGGCTTAGGAAGAAGGATCATCTGTGACTTCCAGGACACCTCCACTCAAGGCAGGAACATCTGGTCGCAACATGGCTCTGTCACGTAACTCGGAATGTGAAGTTGGCTCCTAGCTGAAGCTTCACTCAGGACAGAAAAGTCTTCATGAAGTGCACTGGTAGCCAAGATAAGCTGAAACATCTGCCATGGGTGAGAGATCCTTCGACAGGGACTAGCAAGATCTGGAAAAGCGCATGGAACAGAAGCGTATAGTTGTAGTAACAGACGTTTTCAGCAAACGCGATCTGCCCTGTCTACCTTCTCAGACTTGCCCATGTCAACATTTCTTAGCACCTTTTTCCAACAGAACTCTCTACACCAGTAGTTATCGGTTGAGGGTAAGTTAGTCCCTTGAAGACATTGTCTGATGCCTGGCAACATTATTCTGAGGTCACAACTTAGTGTATGTAAAGGGCATCTAGTGAGTAGAAGCCAGATACATCATGTGATGCTTACAATGCTTATAATGGTTCCCCACAACACAGACTTATCCAGACAAAATGTCAACTGTCCCAAGGCTGAGAAACTCCAGTTCAGCCCGACGTGAGTCACCCAGAGTGCACAATCCTATTTGTGAGATATCTGGTTGAGAAGCAGGCCCATGTGGCAATGCTTTTGCACACTCCATGTCCTAAGGATGCAGAGAGGTTTGCATTTTGTTTCCATGTCAAATCCATTCATTCTGTTGCTGTGTTGAACTATGTGTATTCGGCATGAGACAAGAAAAGGTGTGAACCAACATTCTAAAATCAACGTGGTATAAGTTAATACTCAAATGCCAGCTATTTAGCATCCAGAGAAAATAAAGCTAAGGCCAAAAGAGTGCCGCACCATCCACCCAGCTGCTCATGGGACTCTTCCTGGTACACCCATTCCAAAGCGTCTAGGCACCAAGGATCAGGCACAACACTCATCTGGCCTCTGGCAAAAGGAATTCTTCAGAGCACGCTTTTTCCCTTCCAACTAAAAACAAGTCCACACACTGACATCTCTCTTCCCACCTGGCCCTGCTGGACTTTGTCTCAGGCTCTGCATGCTGGGGTTGGTCCTGGAGAAGGTTCCTTGGCATCTGAGCTTCACACTCTGTAAACACTGTCCAGATGTCGAGTCCTCAGGGCCTCCTACTCTCTGCAGCACCCACAGGGCTCCTTCATGTGCAGGAAACAAGGCTGAGCCACAGGGTAGAAGGTTCCAACACACGAGGGTGAGCAGCCACCTCACCACTATCCACACCATCAAAGGTAATTGTGTTCTACGTGATTCAGGGCCAGGGGCAGCCCATACCATCTGCATTTGATTTGGAATGCATGATGATGGTTTAGGACATTGTACGTTCTTAATTATGTTTAGCTGAAACTAATCATTAAATTTAATTTCCTGTCTTGGGCAGACACTGTCCGGTTAGTGAAGCCAACTCAGTGCAGGTGGACAAGTGGAATCAACAAGATCCTTCCACTTCTGAGCCAGTTTCCTGGAAAGGTGTCTTTCATTATAAAACAACTATAGAGTCTAGACAAATTACAAAAAGAAGTTTCCATCCCCAAGTAAGAAAATTCCTCCATTGTCTGAAAACAACAAAGACCATTAGCAAAAACTGAGTCATGAGCATTCAGCAGACAAGAAGGCAGAGATTACACTTGTGATAAATGCCAGGGCTCTAGGCCAGAAGAACAGGAGGCTGCGGCACCGACCAGAGTTGGGGCTGGACCCGAGGGTTTTAAGTAGCACACAAGGAACTATATCCTTAGCCAAACGTCAAGCTCCAAATAAGTGTCAGTAAAGGACACTTAGCAAAAACCCAATCTGTCTCCAAAAAGGTTGGGGGGTATGACTAATATGGAAAACAACAGTAAGAATAACAATCTCCCTGATCTTTAAAACCATCTTTTCACTTGGATCTGCAATAAGGCTAAAAGCTTAAGATCCACAAATCTAGCCTAATGAATTACAAAAATAACAAAAGAAATCCAAAGACATGGAAGATACATAACCATACACACACTGTTGATGACTGGGGGTTGTTAGCAGCTGCTTTTTAAAGCAGGAATAGTTCAGATTCAGGAAACAACCTCCTAGCACTGAGATTCTACATAGGCCACTTGCCATCAGTGTGACCTTAGACAGGTTAGAAAGCTCTGTGTCCTTTCGTCGCACCACCTGCAAAGTGAAGAAAGGACACCAAGCGGCTCATATGGTCATTGTGAAGATGACAGAGTTGATTTATTTGAAACAGACTATACAGTCAGTACTGTATGTGTTCACACTAATGTTGCCATTACGGCTTCAGCTTCACTTTGTACCAGGGATGCAGGCAGCACTTAGGGCATGAGAAGATGTCATTTAATGCATGACGCGGCTGTCTGCAGTGATCCTTCACAAGGACCTTAAGAGAACAAATTAGAATGAGCATTTACATCTACCCTGCAATATAAATGTATTAGCTTTGATGAGGGGTTTATCGTAATGGCAAGATGTAGGGGCAACCTGCAACAGGCACAGTCCACAAGAAATTCAGTCTAGTTCATCTCACAATGATGGTCAGTCTAACTGAGTAATGCAGCAGTTCTTCTATGAGAACAATTTTTACCTATATGAGTTATTAATAATTGAAATTATAAGATATTATGATTAGGAACTATATCTTCTTGTGGGAATTAACTAAACAAAAATGAGAGTGACATAATTATCCTGGGTGTTAATCACCACAGTTGCTCCTTCCTTCGTCTGCCCTTTTGTAGACTTGCATAACACTTTGGTCTTTTCTTCCTACCGCACTACCCAGAAGGCCGTGGGGTTCATTACCCACTTCCTACACTTGAGCTGTACAAATCTGCAACTCTCGCTCTCTTTTCAGCATTCCTAGCCACAGCACAGCCAAGCCTCAGGATTCCACGGCTGCCCTCCCTGCTTCTTGCCACACCAGAGGCTCTTGGGCATCCCTGTAAGAGTACTAAAGCATTTGCAGGGTCATGGCCCAAGAAATATTAAGGAACAGTTCTTCAGAATTTAAAAACTAAATAAAATAGAACCATCCACAAATTGTTATACCTTATGAATAAAACAAGAAAAATTAATTATAAATAAACGAGTAATAATAGTTCATTTTAATCAAGATTATATATAATAAAGAGCAACTGAGCAACCTCTACATAAACAAACACCTGTAGAAGACAGTTTAGTTAAGGCCCACACATGGATGTGAATTATGTGACTTAGATTTTTGTGTGTGTATGTCTTAGATTATTGACAAACAGCTCTTGGCATCTTCAGCTTTCTTTACAATATCTAGTTTAAAATTATCATATATGTCTCATCAAGTTCTGGAAGTGAAGGACAATCTTTCTATTTAAGATATCATTTCAGGGGCCAGGAAGATGGTTCAGTGGAATAAGCACTTCCCTGGCAAGGACCTGAGCTCAATCCCCAGTTCCGCAAATAAACAAAAAATAAAGATATAATTTCAAGTACTATTACTTAAAAAGTTTAAACACCAGAATGTTTGAGGACTTTTAAAATTACTAAAAGACCCTGAGAGATTAGTAAAATCATGCCCATCCACACACACTCCTCCCTGTAAAATTAGCTTCAAACTGTAAAAGATGAACACAAGTACAATCTCTTGGATAAACAAGTGCAGATGTAACTTCAACCCAGTCGCCATGGAGGACATGAACTGTTTGTATCTCTGCAGCCATTGCAATAAGTGTAAGCCCTTAAGAATATAATAATATTAACATTAACCTTTGCTTAGTTTCAAATTACTCAACAAAATACACATTTTAAAATTTTTTTAGATTTTTATTTATTTGGTACAGGGTCTTGCTACACAGCTTGGGCTCATAGTGATCCTCCTGTCAGGCATACACCACCATGCTCAGTTTGAGTGGCCAACACGGTGTCCCTAGGGCAGGGCCAGCATAGCATGTGGCAGCAGGGATTGAACCCGGATCCCCGCGCTTGCCAAGCAGGCAGTTAGACTGCTGAGCTATCTCCCTAGCCCAAAATACACATTTTTAAAGCAGAGGTTTACTTATCTGCATGCATATATATGTTCATCTCATTCAGATCAGCTTTAAACGGTGCATATTGATAACACAATTCCTGGTTGATTTGAAGAGATCTAATAGACAAAGCTAACTGCAAAAGATTTAAAAAGAAAACGTAGAAACTAATATGTAAACCAACAAAAAAAAGTGCAACTAATAGAAATTCATCACTTGGAAAAGGGTTACTGCCCCCACATATTAAATCAATTAAAGGAAGCATTAAGCAAAAAGCATTTGGGACTAAAGTTGCTTGTTGGCTTATTTAAATGAAACTATGTAATCAACAGCTTCAGTGCAGTAAAAATGTGGTGTGAAGTTGTGCAAGACAGGTGACCAAGACAAGGGGATGCAGTGTCGGAATGTGAAAAGATGAAAAACAGCAATAACACTTGCCATTTTCTTCTTCTTGTATTTTAAGCGGATGATTTATTTGCATTTCTGCAAAAATAAAAGTGAAGTGCAGTTAATAATAGATCTGTCTGATGATTTTGTAAGTGGGGGGGGGGAAGAAGTGTGAGCTCAGCTCTTCAGCAGTGGCAAATCCTTCGGCTGAGTTTTACACAGTAGAGCAGAAGGCATTGCCAGGACAACTCTAACAGGGATGTGTGTTCGCACTGTGAAGAATGACTGGAGACCTGATCTCAAAAGGCAAGCTAGCGGAAGCGCTGATCTGAGGGTCACTGGGAGCCATCTTCCAAGGTGTCCAGATGGGACCAAGTCATCTTGCACTTTCTTCTACTGATGGTTTCATTAATCCTCACCTTGATGATAAAGTTCAATTTCTGAATAAATTATTCCTTGAGACATAAAGGGAATCCACCTGAAGAATATGAAAAAATAAAAAACATAATTTATTTTCTTGATTTTTTCCAATTAGCTTGAATCTGCATTAATTTTCCATATTGCAAGGTAACTATAAAAACTGCTTCTGTACAGCCAAACACAATCCAAAGTACTGCACGCTCAACATTAGGCTAAAAATAGTATCAAAACAATGCCTGGAATAATAAAATATATCTGTCTGGCTTTATCAGTTCTCACTCACTAGCACTTGCAAATGCCACTGCGGCTGCAGTAGAGCACACAAAAGACCTAGGTTGAACAAAGGCAAGGACATATTTAAGGTCTTGGGCCATCTAGAAAATGTAGCCTACCCGACTCCCGCGGCTTGTTACAAAAATAATTCCACCATTTTCATGTTTCCTGTCTGAAAGTCTCCGTGTTGCTTTTACATGGCTTCCTCTAAAATGTTCTTAAGTACCTTCAAAAAGAATTGTATTGCCTTAAAGTGTAGTGAAAATGCTACCATTCTGGAAACCACGCACCTGCTCATAGCTCACAGATACGTTCCCCCAACACAGACAGACTTCTGTGTTAGAAACTCTCTGTGGCAAGAAAAAGTCAATATTAGAGTCAGCAAACCCACATTCCCACATTTCTGTGTTCTTACCCTCTTAAAGCTTAGTTTTGCTGACTAAATTACCTGCTTCGTAGAGTTTTAGGAAGCTGAAATAAAACACCATGCAAAGCCTTTTATAAGCTATTACGTGGAACATAAACGTCATTATTTCACCACAAACCCCCCAGCTACTGCTGTCCTACACTGACCCTTTGTTCCTTCCATTTGCCAGCCATCTGTCCACTCAGCGAGCATGGGGAAAGGGCCTGCTGTGTGCCAGGCCCTTTGTTAACTGCCGAAGGTGCTTCCAGAGCAGAGGAGGGGCCTGCCGGGTAAAGCCATAAATGCGATGCAATACTGAGTGATGCAAGCAGTGCAGACAGAATAGGAGCAGGGAAGACAAGAATGCTCAGCTCAGCGGCATAACGGGAAGTGCAAAGGAATAGGGAAGGAGAAACTTCATCAGGAGGTGGTCTCTGAGGCCAAGTTTGAACAATAAATAGCCATGTGACAGGCAGATGAGGTCAGAAGGACACCACAGCATGCGAGAGGGGCACTGCAAGGCACAGAGATACGGCAGGCTCCCATGCAGCTAAGCACAGGATGCTGCTGGATAAGCAGGGCTGTGAGCAAGTAGGCAGGAGGAGGTGAGGCCGTGTGGCCTCCTTGCGGAAGGAGTCGCAGAATCGGCGGATCCCAAGGAAGTCAGAGGCAGAACTTTACCATCCTGGCCCTGAAATCACCAGGTGGAGATCAGATATGGGCTGTAAAGGTGAACTGCGCCTCCTCCAATCTTACCCAATTGTCACTCCATTCATCTGCCAACTTGTCAAAAGCTACTAGAGACCCGGTTTCCTGCTGGCCACTGCAGCTCTATGTGCCCTCTCTTCCTCCTTAGAGTCTAGCATCACATGCTATAATTTAGTTTTCACACTTAACCCATCATCACGTAAGCTTGCATTATTAGTTGAGTTTTGCTTAATGCGACCATCTTTCCAATCAGATTATCTCCGTAATGAGCTCGTCAATCAAAATACAGGCTGCTGGTTTTATGCTTAGGCTCTGGCCTTGCTTGGAAATGTGTGCCTTATCCCAGCTGCTCCGCAGCTGAGGCAGCAGGACATCGTAGGACAGCAGGCAGCAGGACGTCAAGCTTGAGCAATTTCCTGTGGCAAATGAAACAGCTAGGCTGCAGCTCCGTGGGAGAGTGCTTGGCCAGCATGCGCGAGGCCCTGGGTCGCAGCCCAGGGCCATGAAAGCCAAGGAGGAAGGGAGCAGGCATAGTTCCAGGTTAGAAGTGGAGTCAGTCTCATTCCAAACCTTACTAATTGTACAATCTCAACGCATATTTTCCCTTGATCTTTCTAAGCCTCAGTTTTCCCATTTGTACACTCTGGATAATAATCGTCATCACCATCATCATCATCATCATCATCATCATCATCATCATAGCAATAGTGATAATAATAATAATACACAATAGGAATGCAGGTTTAAATGCACAGACACAGGGGCCAGGGAGATGGCTCAGTGGAATAAGCGCTTCCCTGGCAAGCGCAAGGGCCTGAGTTCAATACCTGGTTCCGGGAAAAAAAAAAAAAGTAAATGCACAGACACTTACAATATCTGACATATGATAAATGGCTACTAAATGTCAGTTAAGACTGTATTTTTCCATTGCCAAATGCAGCACCTTATACACAGTTGACAGTGTAGCAAATACATCTGCAGTGACTGGCAGCCAACAAGCAACCATGCCTCCTCTCTTGCTGTGCTGGAAGAGGTGGCCTTGAACACCATTTCTGGCACCAAGGACCTACCGGCTGGAGAACACAGCGATGCCCCACCCAGGCCTTCCCAGAATCCTGACACAGATACAGATCAGCAGCCACAGGAGGCCCCATGGCACCACAGTGGCCAGTTGGTGCCACTGAACCCAAAGCCAGTCACAAGCCAGTGACACCAGAGAGCAGGACCTGACCTACAGAAGGGCGGAGGCTTTTGACAAGGAGATACTGTAACAACGCAGACCTGCTGAGCTGCATTGGATGAGATTAGCTAGTCTGCAATGCCCAGCTCTAGTTCTTAAACTGGCTCCTCCTATGAATGTCACCTGCAAAGCTGTCCTTTCTAAGACTAGCTTTAAAGGATTTCTCCTTCCTGCTACCAAGCCAGGGTTTATAAACTTTTAAAAAAGAAATAAATCACACTCTCTGGTCTTGTCTCTAGTCAATCCTTGAAAATCTCTTGTATGATTTTTATCACAAGATACTGGCCAAAAAGCAATATTATGACCCTTAAACCCACAGAAACACTGAGCGCCGGATGCCCATTAAAATTCCCTTCTAGATCACTGTAGGCTCAGATTTATTAAAAGCTTGCAGTCATCGAGGCTATTCATTTACACAATCTCCTCCAGGGGAGATTCAGTCTATGAAAACTTCAGTAGTTCCATACTGTCACCAGATCTTTGGTCTAAAAAAAAATCCCTTAACCATTTAAGGGCTGCTTGCAGTTGCCTAGATAAGAGCTAGCTGCAGCCTGTGCCCAATTTCTTCCATGGATATTTTCTACACCCAAAGTGTGGCAATAAACCCTCAGAAACAGAAACTAGCCGAAGAGAACTAAGCGCAGTTAGGACAGACTGTGAATCACGCCTTCCATCAGCACAAGAACGCTCCCCACACACGCCCCGAACAGGACCCAGAACCCCAGGGAGCAGCCGGGCTTGAGAGGAGAAAGCAGATGGGAAAGCAGGCCCCGGAAGCAGGCCGGAAAGCCTTCGGCCCAGACGTCGGTCGCACTGGTAGGGAGGCACCAGCACAAGCAAGCCTCCTCTGGCGACAAGCTGCCCTCTCGCCGGGCTGTCTAACAGAAAGACAGAAAACAAGTTCTCCGCGTCTCTGAGATCGGAGTAGACACACTAGGAGTGGGCTTGGGTGGGCCTCCACGCAAGCCAAGCGGGCTGGGGCAGAAGCAGCAAAGGCCGGGAGGGGCAGAGCCTGCCTTTTCTTGGGGACGCAGTTAGACAGGGCGGCTGCTCATTCTGCTGACACGGGGAGAGAAAGACGCGAGGCCCTGCACCTCCCCCAGCGGGAGCGCGAGGCCTCGCCCTGCCCCATTCTGTCAGCTCCCACCGTCACTACCTGTCACTTTCGCACCAAGGAACAGCTCAAACTGACAAAGGAGTGCACAGAAATCTGCAGCAGAACCAATACATGCTCAGAATAGCAAGCAATGATTAACAGTGGCCTCTTTGGGGGAAAATTAATAAAGTTAAATGATCCTTCACTGTCTCATGATAATTTTTATTATTCTTTTCTCTCTATAAAATAATTTTATATTTCTGTACTTAAAATCCCCACATCATTTTTTACTTGCGTTACTAATCATCTCTTCCTATCACCCAGATATAGAAAACACAACCATTTGTACATAGGCTAAATATTTTGAAAGTAAATAAATTCATAATTTTTTAAAGAGACATCTGTGGGTGCTATAGAAGAAACTCAAAGATTAGGTGACAGCGACGGCTTCTCCCAACACGGGATTCTGGTATGTTTTTCATTACCTTCTTCTTTCTTTCCTTCTAGCCTTCTCCTATTTTTCTATACTGCCTGAGTCCCGCCTTGGTATAAGAAACCCTGCTAGACAATAAAAAGAAATGCGTAAGTCCCTTCCCTGAAGACATTTTTATCACCTGGTACCTGAGGCAGACACACTCCCTGAGACAGTAACTGACACTACATGACCAGAGCTGCACAGAGGTTTAAATCAAACCTGGGAGGATTTTTTTGAAAAGGTGCAGACAGGGCAAGCAGAGAAAGCTTCATGGAATGGAAAGCAGTTGGCCCGAGGCTTTGGAAGGTAAAGATTTCAATAAGCAGAGAAAGGATAAAAGGATAAACTGGGCCAAGCTCTGTGAGCTACGGCTAGCAACGTCCCTGGAGAGTATTTAGGCAAGGAAGCAAATGGCATTTTCCTAAGGAGAACTAAAAGAGGATGCTGGAAAGTTCAGTGACTGGGGGGGGGGGGGGGGAAGGATAATTCGTTTTAAACCTGTCATCGCAGACTACCCCTTCACCCCGGGATGGCCCAGGTGTAAAGTCCCCATTGCAGCCTTAGAGATGCAAGAGAAGGGCACGGTTTCAACAGGCCTCGCAGGCTCTGCTCCTAGCCACTTCACCAATGGTTACACAGCCCTGCCTGACAGGACCTAACTTAGAATTCACTCAAAGCGTGACTCACCTACCACACACACAGAGCACCCGCTACATCCTCTGTCTGTGGACAGGGAGGGGCTTTGCTGATGAGCTCCTGAAGGCCTTCTGGTAGGATGTCCTTGGAAGAACCACCAGGGACGACACAAGGCTACTAGGAAACTGCTTCATGAGTGGTAAGAGTGGACCCTGGAGGAGGGACTGTTAGCACTGCAGATTCTCAAGAACCTCTGTCGTCCAGTGTGGCCCTGCTGGTACTTGAGACCTTGGTAATGGAGCAGTAGAGAAAGTGCGCCTTCCCGCTACACAGCAGTGACAGAGATGTCACTGTCATAGGAGGTCATCTAGCAACTTTAGTTTCTCAAGGCTAAGATATATCCTGAGATAAGCCACATTTTTCTTAAAAATTCACACCTCTGTCAATTCTAAAAGTAACTATGAGGCTCTTTGTTATTACTAACAGTTGAATTTGATAATTTCATGGTCGTTTTTCTGTATGTGTCTCAGTGAGCTCAAGGCAGAGTTAGACCATGTAGACTCAATGTTCTCATCCCACATACACCACATATGCCATTTCCCTTTAGAGTTCATGGTGTCTTGATTGATGCCCCTGGTTCAATGTATTACACATATTGATTTAACCTTTAATTCCAGGAACCACAATAGTGACTGAAAGTTAAGGATACTGATCAGGCAGCCTTGAGGGAAAGTCTGCCAAAAATTAGAAAAGTAGGACAGACAGACAGAAAAACACATACACGCATCTCCTTCAGCAGAGTGGGTGCCAAGTTAACACCTCACATCCTGTGAATGGCACACAGGAAAGTGGCATTTACCCAACCTGATGTGTCAGAAGACTTCCCAGCAAGCACTACGGTTTACATCAACTCCCTAGCAATATAATGTTGAACGCTTTCAGGAACCAGGAAAAGGCCAAGAGCTAGGTGAAAGGAGACAGGTTGGCATCCACTGAGGACACACTGATGGTTGAGGGAGCAGAAAAGATCTGTGTCTGAGATGCTGGATAAAGTGGGCTTCGGCTACAATGGTCCCCACAGAGGGCAACTCCAAGAGTATGGTAGGGTGCTTAGCTGCCCCTTCCCAAAAATCTGCCTCATCTATGCCCAAGAGCCCAGTTATTTTAGTGGAATAACAGGCCCTCTCCCTGGGAGTTAGCAGGAAGGCACTGAGGACTGGGAAACTGCATGTAGACCTGGGGTGGAGGCAGGATTCCACACCCAGGGTACCCAGCATTTGCTGGGGGCTGACTCTACTCATAGGAGACTTCCTTAAGTCTTTTCACCCCCCACTTTACCCAAAGGAAATGATGTCAACTATTAAAAGTGCAACAAATACTGAATGGAAATTGGGCAAGAACACTTTAGAGGTGTCAGTTACAGTATCAACTCAGGAATACTGAAGTACCTCCTTTTTGTTCTAGAGATTAATATGCCTCAGGGTCACTCTACCTAAATCAAGGCCGACCAAGATTTAGTATCAAGAAGACAAAGCTGGCCATGTCTCTCTACCTTGACAAATCAAGTTATGTTTGGATTTTTTAGTCAGTTCTTTGCATTTAACCTTTCAATTTCTGCACCCATAAATTCTCCTTCTATTTACTATTGCCATTGGTAAGGCCTTTATCTCAAAAACCTTGCTCCTGAGAGCCCCATCAGTGTCATGTCCAAAACCAGTCAGGACTAGAAGTCAACATTAAGGTTCCAGGCTTTCCTCGTGCATAGGCAGCAAAGGGTGGCTGTAACTGCTTGCATATCTGGACCTCCCAGGACCAGAAGGGTCGAGAGATACACATTATAAACCACAGTTACATCTCTGCACATGAATACTGATATGCACAATATGCTCACATAGTGCTATGAGTTTGATAATGCAGAAAAACAGTGATCACTAAGTTATCGCTAACTTATAGCATTATGGTATCTGCTCAGATAGTGTTCCCTCCAAATTCACACCAACTTAAAACCTAAGAATGTGATGTTTTATGGAAGCAGTGACTTGCACATATAATTAATTAGGTAAGCTGAGGCCACCCTGGAGGACAGTGGTCATAGTCCAAAGACTAGCGTCCTGTAAGGACAGACGCAGACACAAAGGAAAGGTGGCCATGCGACAGCAGAGGGAGGTAGAGACCTGATGCACCTGCAAGCCACAGAGTGCCGAGGATTGTGAGCAACCACACAGAAGCCGGGAGAGGTCAGGAGGGATTTTTTTTCTCCGGCTCTGTAGAGAAAGAATGGCTTTGCCAACATCTGGATTTCTGACTGCTTGCTCTAAACTGTTAGAGAATGCATTTCTACTCTTTAAAACATCAAGTTTATGGGATTTTATTACAGGAGCCACAGGAAACTACAGTAATACAGTACATAAGAATTCCCAAATTAGTATGTACTTGAATATTGACCTTATTCAAATACAAATTTTTCTTGCTCCAAACCCACATAGCCAAACTTTCTGTGTAAAGGGCAGAAATTCATGGTGTGTACTGTTATCTATAAAGGCACAAAAGTAATATTTTCAGGTATAGAGATAAAATAGAACCCTAATGGTGTGGGTGTCCCCTGAAAGAGGGAGAGGAGAGGGACCTGCAAGCTGCAGAAGCATCTGTGTGCCCAGCAGCGCCTCCCCCGAGCTCTGCCTGCCTCTGCACCCAGGCACTCCCTTCCACTTGGCTCTGAAAGGCCATGCATGTGGGGTCCTTCCCCCCTACCTCAGATGCACTATAAATTCTTGCCTGGAGGAAGCTCCAGGAGAAATGAACGGGGTTAGCTTCCCATGTCCTTCCTGGAATATGCCCTCCTAGGCATTTCTGCCTCCTGCATCCCAGACAAATTACAGGCATCCCTGGCTTCCTGGGCCCCTGGACCCCAGGCTGCAAGGAGCCTGTGCAGACCAGCTCCTGCATGCAGCCACAGGGCCTCTCTTCTCCTCCTAAGTACACAAGCTTCCTTGCAGGATGCTATTATTAGCCTTCTGCATGAAGACAGCAGGCTCTGGGCACCAAGGGGCCACTGGGCATGGCAGCAGTGTAGTCCTTTCTGCTGTGGAAAGGAAGCTGCCCCATTCCTGCTCCACTCTTGGAATAACATGCTTCTAATTCTTTATGAAGAGTATCGGAAGGAATGAAGTTTTATAACTACTTTCTTCATGAGAATTTTGTATGAAGGAGCACTGGCTACTATTCCTTCATGACTACTTGTGCACGGCATGAATGTTAGTGTCGGAAGGTCAGGGTGATGCATTCTGGCCTGTTATTCTTGGTCACTTAATACACTGTGTAAAGTTTTTCAGATGGAATCCACCGGCACTAATTAAGCTATCCCTGTGTCTCCTCACAATAAGACACAAGGTAGCAAAGAAAGGCAAGTGAGGGCAGTGGGCAACGTGGTGGAGGCTGCACTGACCGCACAGAATGAATGTATGCGCAGATACTAAGAGCGACAATGCATACATCTAGAAGCCCCTCAGTAAATTTCATATTTTTATAAAAAATAAACTAAGCTTATGTGACAGAGTACAGCAGAAGGAGAAAGTACTAGACGAAGCGCGCCCTGGTGATGGACAGGCCTGGGGAGCAGTCCGCAGCTGCCACCAGGACCTTAGGCGGGGAGCGCAGGTCACAAAGCGCTGGGTGACCCCAGGGAGAAGGGGAAATAAGCTTGGTTGTACTTTCAAGTCCACACCTTTGGATCGCCCGATGCTGCTGCCTTGCCTAATTTATTTTTTGCTTCATTTCCTATTGAAAATCCATTTAGACAAAGGGCTACAGGCATCTCCCAACTCTGACAACAAAGCCCCATTTCTCACCCACGTACCCACAACAGGTAGGGTCTTCATGGAGAAACTATTCACCCTTGAGTCCACTTACAAGTCTTCTCCCCTGTAATGGAGAGACTAAGCGAAAGTAGCCGTCAGCGCCCACGCAGCCAAAGGCAGGAGTCTCCCTGAGATCACGGCGCCCAGCAGAGCTAGAGAGTAGAGCTTCTTCCTGTGCCAAGAAGGGCAAGGAAGCACGGAAGGTCTGGGGGCGAGAGGTGAAGAGGGAGGAACTGGCGCGATCCGGGCTCAGGCACAGGAGCGCGGGCCCGGGCCGGGGCGGATGGAGGGCTTCCGGCGCCCACCCGAGCGGGCTCAGGTGGCAGCGCACCCTGTCCTCATTGGAATCTTGGTCCTCCACACACTTGCCACTAGAGTTCTTCTCTCTAACATTCTCCACTCTAATCCTCTTCAGAAATTATTGTAACACCACTTTAGTAACTTAAAGAAGTCAAAATTTAAACAAATATTCTCTATATTTATGCAAGAATGTTAAATATTAAACTTTTGGCCTTTTGTAACACACAGAGTATGTTGATTAACTGATATTACAAGATAAAACTTTCTTAAAATGCTTCGTAAGTGATGGTTACTTAAACACACAGCCAATGACAGTTCAACCCTGAGTAGATGATGCAACTCCATAAGCTACACACGCGCACACACACACACACACGGGCACACACAACCCAGTGCCACACACCACACACTCCTCTGAAGTACTGCCGAGACCCCCTTACCTCTCACAGGTGAAGACGGACTCCGACTCTGTACCCGGCTCTCTGACGACAACCTTCTCACAGTACCAGTACTGGGACTCGTCACGGGCCTCGCAGCGCAACAGCACCTTCTGCAGCTTTCCGAGCGACACTGCTTCCACCTCAAATCTGTCGATCTGGCACAGGAGACAGAAAGACCACGGCACCAGCTGGAGCCCCGCAGGAGGAAGGCACCGCCCACGGCTGCCACAAGCAGCGCAACGTTTTAAAAACATAATGTTACTACAGTTAACGTCAAGGAAGGCAGAAAGGGAAGAAAGTAAATTATTTTTATCTATTAAGACATGCTATTCTCTCTCTCTCTCTCTCTCTCTCTCTCTCTCTCTCTCTCTCTCTCTCTCTCTCTCTCTCTCTCTCTCTCTCTCTCTCTCGCCTTATGCTGTCCCAGGATCTCCAGTGAGAAAAGACCACGCTCCGCAGCTTGAGCTATCCCTGTCGCTCTCTGGTCCCCTCCACCCTGGCCGGAGTCGCGGTTCACCAGCAAGTGCGTCCACCACAGGACCGACGGGACAGCACGTCCTGTCCAGACCCTGGCACACTGGGAAGCAGAGGACCCTTCCTCATTTCCCCTCCTCCTTTCCTTCCAGAAATCCTTTTCCCACCTTAGCTCTCAATATGAACATAAAGCACATTCTGCAACTGGTTTGCAAAAGCATCCTCTAGTCCTCCTTCCTAAATCAAAGAATTCTGCTATGGGGCTTTAGAGATAACGTCACACTCATGTGATCTGTGGCACTCACCCTTTCTTGCCCTATTTCTCTTTTTCATTTCTATTGCTCTGAATCCCTCCTGCTCCTCTCACCATACACAATGAGAATTAACCTGAATATCATTAATGTTTAATTTTCTGTCACCTAACATATTGCGCTTCTGAGAATTCTCAATAGTGAAATAATAGAGATCTTTCTAAACAATTCTTAATTACCTAAGAATATCTGGATAGCTTCTCAAGTTATATTTCTTTCCTTTTTCATTTATTTTTTCTTTCTGTCCTTTCTTTCAACCCCTGGGGCCCATAACCTCTCAAACTTTTTCTCCCTCATTTGTGGGTATAAATATAACATCTATCATGAAAATCTGTTTTCTTCCTATATTCTCCTTGGCTTTTTCCTTATCTTTTTTTCTTCTCCTAATTCCCAGTGTATTCTACATCATTAATATTCCCTTGTATTCCTGACCTATTGAAAAGTTGAAAACCATTTAAATAAGTTTTATGCATTCCTACAGCATGCATTTATCTCTTCAGATGTGGTCAGCAGCAGCAACAGTCACACTGCTAGGAACAGATCTCGGTGGTCTGAGTAGAACGAGCCGGGACCACGACACTGAGGCCATCGCGGGGACAGACCCGCTCTCCAGGACATCTCTGTGACAGAGGCAGAGCTTTCTGTTCCACCACAGCAGAAATCTCTCACACAACAGTGATGGGAAAACAACGCACCAAGATGCCTCTGCCTCAGTGACTCTTCTCTCGTTGCTGGGACAAATACCCACACCCAAAATGAAGGAAAGAAAGGCTGATTTAGCTCACAGTTTCTGGAGTTAGTTCATGCTCAGCTGGCTCCAAGGCAGAGTGGCACAGGGCAGCCTTTCATGGTAGTAGAAGGCAGTAAACAGCAAGAGCAAAAGGGAGGAGTAAGAGCAACAATGGCAGCAGAGAGCAAGGCTGTCCCTTAAGTTGCATTCAGGCTCTGACCCAAATTAGGAGTAGCACTCACACCCATAATTCCAGCAGCACTCATACCCATAATCCCAGCACTGGATCATGAATTAATCACAAAATCTAGAAGTGGGCCACATGACTGCACAAGACTTTTGGGGGACAACTAGACACAAACCATAACATTCCACCTCTGGACCCCTAAATTCTCATGCACATCACTTTGTACAAAAGGCATTTTAGCCCATTTCTAAGAGTTGCCAAAGTCCTAACAGTTACAGCATGGCTGAAAAGTCCGCGTCCCAAGGCTCCTCCAAGATTGAAGGCAAACTCTTAGGTGTGAGCCCCAGAACAAATGAAAAGTTAAACATTTCCCACATTCAATGGCACAAGAAAAGTATTACCATTCCAAAAGGCACAAACAGCAGGATACCAAGCACTAGGACCAAAGCAAGTTCAAAATCCAGAAAGGCCAACATTAATTCCTGTAGTTCCAAGTGTGACATCTGAAGCAATCTGTGGCAAATCATTAGTTCTATGTGGCTCCACCTCTGTGGCATTCTTGGTGGTAGCTCCCATGACTTCTCTCTTAGGCTGGATTTGCTTCATCTGCAGTTTCCCTTAAATGATCCACATTCCTGGGTTTTCCAGACTTCTTGGGTTTCCACTGAATAGGCTTCTCACTCACAGCTTCACACACTGCCCTCCCAGGGGCACACAGCCTGGCCTCCCAGGACTTCTCCTGAAACCAAGGTGAACACCTTCTTAGCCTCAGAACTCCTGCATTCTGCAAGCACCTAAAGTCAACGCCATGTGGATGATGCCAAGGCCTGCTGCCAGCCAGAGCAGTAGCCAGCCTTTATTCTCTCTTGGCTGTAGGGGTTGAGAGAGTATGGATTGCTGAGCACTTTGACCCTGATTCGAAGGGATAAATTCTCCATGCTAGCACCATTCTGGAACCTGGTGTGGCTGCTTCCATCATTCTGGAACATGGGGTCCTGCGGCTTTCCCCTTAAGGCGAAGTCCTTCATCCTTGCAATTGTGAGCCTGCAAAAGGTGGAGACCTGCTGCTTCTTGTGATGCCCTCAGGCCCTCCTTTCCATTATCTTGTTCCTTCCTGGCAATCCTGATCCTTTCAGCTCTACCTTTGCATTCCATAGCTTTACTGGGGCTTCCTTTCTGGCCAAACTCATTTTAAATCATCCTGTAGGGCTTTTTTCTCTTGATTCTCAACATAAATCTGACTAAAGGCCCCAACAATAGCCATGCCGCTGACTCAAAACTCAGCTGCTTTGAAATTTCTTTTGCAAATCCACTGTGCTTAATCTCATTCTCAGGCAAAGTCTCTGGACACAAGCAAAATTTAGACAAACTTTCTATCAAGCTGTAACACAAATTACCTGGAGTCCAACAACCAAGGCAGTCCTTTTTTTTTTATAGAAATTTATTTATTTATTTATTTATTTATTTTCCCACAATTTTATTGAGAAATAAATAGCAATGAGAGAGTTTCAAACCAAATAGGTAGGACAGTTTCAATAATTAACACAATGCATACATTCTTCCTAGTGGTTAATTGCTGTACAAGATGTGGACATGATATCCTATTTACAAACACCATTAGAACAAATCCCTCTATTCATTAAGAGAAAGTAACTATATATCTATCCTAACCACTTTGAATACACAG